CCGCCGCGTGCCTCTCCTGGGAAAAGGGCGCGAAGCTGTTTGCCTCCTTCGAGGGGCGGCGCCGGCCCTAGCCCGCTCCTCCGTCAAGCAGCAAACCTTCCCGCGGGCGGGGGGACGCAGCAAGGCGGCGTGCTCGGCCCCGGCGGGAAACGCTGTGGCAATCCCTCCGCTTCGCGGGAAGCCTAACGGCCTGCCCCGCGCAGTAATTCTGCGGGGAAGAGGGGAAATACCGGGCAAACGAAAGATGAGAAAAATGGGAATTAAGTGTTCAATACTGTCACGCATGCTATGTAAGCTAGAAGTCCTGAAAGGTTCACGGTTCAAAAAAAAGGGTACAGAAATTGTGAAACCTCTAATGCAAAAAAAATGGCAAAGTAACTAAGTAATTTTCTTAAATGTTGTAGACTCTTTTTAAGGCATCATCTTGCTGTATTTGCACACTGTCTCAATACGGTGCTGTGTATTTGCCACATACTGCTCTGTGCTGTGTGGAGCAACAGAGCATAACCTTTTTAAGAGTTCCTAGATAAAGTAATAATAATAAATTTAATAGCTCTGTAGGCCTATTTCAGAGGTTTTGGCTATGTGTGGCCAGACCCACACAGCTGTAACTGGCCCAAACTTTGTGGTCAGCCTCCTAAAGATGCTGTAATAGTGATCGTTCATAGATTTTGTGCAGTAATTTACTGGTCTTAAAATATTTTAATTCATCATTCATCCAAGAACCTGAAAGTTATCTACAAATAAAAAGATTGTTGTTGCAGTTTTCCAGGAATAAAACTGGCCTAATATTAGGAAAATAACACTAATGCTTGGGAGGCAAAGTGACAAAAGTATATTCCTAATTCTAGGCCACACAGTAGCCTAGCATGACTATATCTAATCAGCAGTCCTTGTACATACAACGAGTAAGTAAAAAAATTAGTAAAATAGAAAGAAATCTTTATAGAATACGGTCTGAAAAATGCTTGGCAATTAAAGGAAAGTCTGCACCATCAGGAAATACATTGGGATTGCAGGTATGGTGCTCCACAGCACCACAACCTCCCTTAGTGTGACCCAGAGATACTATCTGAGCTGGGGGGGACTCCATACTCGACAAAGGTATTCATCGGTAGAACATTCCTATTTCAAGCATCATAGGGGCTATTTGAAATTATTCTTTACAAGACTGGAGATGTAATGTGGGTCTTCATTTCTGCCTCTTGGAACATTCTTTGTGTACCATCAAGCAATTTTTGGCACAAGATCTGAGCTTAACATAAAATAAATATTTGCAAACTTGTTTATTGGTGGGTTTGTATATATTCGGTGTAAGTAGATACAATCTCTAAAGGCAGAAAAAGACATCCTACGTAGGGACTTTCAGAAATTAAAAATTCCAATAACTAGTTTTGTACCTGAGAATAATGTAGAAATACTTGACCAAAGAGATACTAGAATTAGAAATAATATGACAATATTAATGAAAGCTCAATAGAAGATGTATAAGGATGATGTACTAGCCTTCTCCACTGACTGCAAGTATTAATAGCTATACTGGAATAACTCATTTATTATTATGCAGTAAAAACGTATTTCTCTCATAGTCACCCAGCACCCAGAATATAGTTGCAATAATCAAAAGATTTTGTGGTAACTAGAACAGTAGCTCCTTCTTCTGTAGCTGGTAATGGGAATGAAGTTTCACAGCCAGTCTGAGGTTTTACCAAGCCACAGTCACTGCAAGTGCATTCTTCCACTGAATACATTAATGTTTCCCTTTGAAGTGAATGTCTAATTCCTTCTGTATTCACACTGCTTTCAGTATTAGCCTTGAGAATATTATTCAGCTCCACAGAAGAGTCTGTAAATATACATAAGTTAATTCAGTACATACATCATGCTATACCAGACATACAGTTATTAAAGATCCAGATTTCATTATGTTCCAACTATGTTCCTAACCTTAGTGAAAGTTTTAAGATATAGTGAAAGTTTTAAGAGGTAGCCATGTATGATAATCTTTTGTTCTATGACAATATGCCCCCTATACTTCAGGATAAGCATTTAAGTAATCTAACACATATTTTCTAATCAGTTATTATTTATTGGCTGAACACTCCATAAATACTAGTATTTGTAAAATGTAAAAATAACTTAATTTTTTTCACCTTCCCAAAATACACCACTTCCGCTTCTCACAGGTTAGAACATTAAGTAAAATTATTCAATGTCTTATAAGATGGAAAGCTAATATTGAATGTGTATCCTCTACCTGGGTAGAATTCCTTTTGCATTCAATGAGAAGAAGATGAAACCCTTATAAGGATCTTTTGCTACTGAGGATTCATAAATGATTTCTCAAACACCAGCAAGTAAGCCAGGTATGAATATGCAATAAAACAATCCTGATATGATCCAGAACCCACAAAGAGAGATTGCTGCTTTTACAAGTTATCATCTGGATATTTTGTTCCCTAATAACTTCACTATCTTCATTGAGACTATTTGAGGAATACAAAACAATCCAACACAGACAGTTATCAGAATCTGAAATATAAATTATATGCAAAATTTATACATGGTAAGAGTAGCTAAAATGTACAATGATCTAAAATTATTTGATAAAGAATCTTATTTATTCACCTGTGTTTTTCAGTTTTTCTTTTAGTTGCTTTAGGTGCTTCCATTTAAACAAGACCATTAAGGTGAACAGAGTGAGCATTAAAATTAATCCTAAGCCCAAACAAATCCAAAGAACTCCACCTGAATCAGTACCTTATGAAATAAAATAGATGCATTAAATTAATTGTAAACAATAACCAATGAACAGTAAGCATGTCCAACACATAAAACTACTTCTACATCGAAGGAGCAATTTCTATTTCTATTGAGTGGGAGCTCAAGTAAAGCTTGAGAGCTTTAAAACTTTACTCTTCTTCACACACATACTCATACAGGACACGTTGCATACATCTTTAATATTTTTGAGCCCATATATTATTCTGATAAACTCTTTCCAGGTTTTAGATTTCTTTAAGTTTTTACGTTTACGATTCTGTGTAAAATACAACATGAAAATGCCCAGCACAGCCACAAAGTATTGCAGAAATATTACTTACTGTTATCACAGTAGTTTTCACATGAAGGCGGTGGCGTACTAGAACATCGAAGATGACAAGGCTTACAAGAGAGCAGCAAATTATCAAAGTATTCATTTTTGGGGCAGTGTGCCATCAGGGTCAGTAATTACGAAACTGGAAAGCCACAGAAATTGTAAAAGAGTGAGGATCATCTACAAAGGGCTTTTCAGTTCTCAGTTTTAGCAAATCTAAGAAGAGCTAGCAATAGTAGTTAGACTTCGATCATAGCTCCACTACATAGTATCATGTTAAATAAAAAGCATTTAACTCTGAAGTCCCCAGGGAATTGCTGTTCCTTTTTGGGCAGTTCACAATTGTAGAAAAACTGAACAGCTGCACCAAGATAATTTTCAATGTAAATTTTGTCTGAAACAGAAAATGGTTATTTATAGAAGACATTTCTTGAACAGGTGCTAAACATTACAAAGTGTAGAAAAGCAAGAAGATCTCCAAACAGGAGTTTATAATAATTGTTCTTGTCTTTAGAGTTTTGTGGGTTTTTTCATGGAGATGGGCTGCAGTAATTATGTTTTCCTGTAACATGCAAACTATGTAACGCTTACTTTTTGTTCTTTTTGTCCCAGTCCAAGGAGCATAAGATGAAAAAAATAAGAGGCAGGAGGCATGGCAATAAGAAGATACGACCAATTCAGTTTCTAGGTTTGCCACTGACTCATTCTGCAACTTCAGACAACTTCCTTCGTACCTGTTTCCCTGGATGGACAATAATATTTAGAACACATAGATGATGAAAGAATTACTTCTTGTAAATGAATGGTTTTCTGATTTTAAATGAGATACTGTGAAAGTACAAGTTCAACAATTACTTCATAATTGTGTTGTACAAAATACTTCTAAGGCCTTCAGTTATAATAGAAAGACAAAATCTAGAGATTCAGTCACTGGGATATTGCTCCTCAATTCCAAATTAGCCTCATTTATCTAGTCTATTAGGTTTTGGTTGGCTTTTTTGCTTGGTTCATTTTGGCGGTTTTAGCTGGTTTTTTGCTTATAACGATAGTTATATGAGAAATTTAATAAGATTACATTCTGATTGTGAAAGAAGACCTATATGAATATTTTACAATTTTGATTCAAAACATTATCTGCATTTTTTCCCTTATTTTTCCATAATGCAGAACTGTCGCTGTACTAAAACTGCGGTACCCAGCATGGAAAAATAGGTGGGCCATAGATTTCATTCTTGTGGTAGAGTATATATGACACCTCCTTCCCAGCCAGGTGATGGGGCACACTGAATATGCATAGATTTGTCTGTGTATATGCAGTGAGTGTAACATTTCTGAAAATGCATTTGATTTTCTCCCAGGAAAAAAAAGCTTCAATAACAGACTGCCACAATGAAATAATTTACACAGCTTACTCATTTCTTGACTTTTTAATCTAACAGAATTTATTTTAAATACAAAGTTAACCAGTAATATCTAGCAAGTTGCAATAGCTGCCTCTATCCAGTATCCCTGCCACAGATAGTTTAGAATTACAGGCTTATTTATAGTTAAATTTCTCCTTGACATAATTAAGTTAATTGCCTTTTTGACTACAGAAAGAGAAGAAAAATATTGTATAAGGAATTGTAATTTCATACCACATTACTATGTATGAGACTTATTTTCCCACGAAATGCACCATGTGGGAATACACAAACTGTTTTTAGTGGAATAGTCTAACAAAGCGATCTGTATTCTAGTCTCTAGCAGATGGAACTGCTTATTGTGGCTTCTGCACTTGTTTCTATAGGCCAGGTGCACAGCTGTAGCCTTTCTGTTACGGGCTTTTCTCCCTACTCAAGATTAGTGGATAAACAGGAATTGACAAAATCTGATTTAGGCGTGACAAAAGAAAATACAGATACAGACCACGGGTGACACCAAAAAGTTCACCAGGAAGTCAATGCTGGTGCTGAAGTCATAAAACTGGTTCTGACTTCCTTCACACATTCACACTCTAGGGGAAGAAACCTAAGTTATCACTAGAATATCATTCCTATTTCTGATGAAGCACCATTTGGTAGCTTATGCATACAGTGATTTGAGCTTTGCTTTTACGATGCTGTATAACCTTTTCAATCATGGAGAGGATAATCACATTCTCAACTGTGATCTGAAGAAGGCAGATATTCATGAAAGTATCTTCATGGTATCCACAAGTACGATACAGGTAAACTGGGTCCAATGCATTTACTTCACAGGAACAGTACAAGGTAATTTTATTAAAATTCGCTAAGTGCTTCAATGACAATTATTAAACCCATGCAAAGTATGAGTTCATAGAATCATAGAATACCAGGTTGGAAGGGACCTCAAGGATCACCTGGTCCAACCTTTCTTGGCAAAAGCACAGTCTAGACAAGATGGCCCAGCACCCTGTCCAGCCGAATCTTAAAAGTGTTCGATGTTGTGGAATCCACCACTTCCCTGGGGAAATTATTCCAATGGCTGATTGTTCTCACTGTGAAAAATTTTCCTCTTGTGTCCAGTTGGAATCTCCCCAGGAGTAACTTGTACCCATTACCCCTCCTCTTTTCCATGCAACTCCTTGTGAAAAGGGAGTATCAATCTTCTTTGTAGCCATCCTTTAAATACTGGAACATAGTGATAAGGTCTCCCTTAAGCCTTCTTTTCTCAAGGCTGAACAAACACAGTTCTTTCAGCCTTTCCTCATATGGCAGGCTTCCCAGTCCTTGATCATCTTTGTGGCCCTTCTCTGGACCCTCTCCAGCCTGTCCACATCTTTTTTGTATAGCGGGGACCAAAACTGAACACAGTATTCCAGGTGTGGCCTGACAAGCGCTGAGTAGAGTGGGATAATGACTTCTTTATCTCTGCTGGTGATGCCCTTGACATCAGGGCAGCATCCTGTTGACTTTCTTTGCCACAGCAGCACACTGTTCAGTTATATTGAGCTTGCTATCCGCCAGGACCCCCGGGTACTTTTCCACAGAGCTGCTCCCCATCCAGGTAGATCCCAGCCTGTGCTGCACTCCTGGATTATGTTTTCCCAGGTGCAAGACCTTACATTTGTCTTTGTTGAACTTTGTTATGCACTCCTGCTCTACTTATTACTGTAATGTATCCTACAACTGGTACATATTTGATATGGTATGGTACTATTCATAAAAACTGTGAAGAATGGGCTTAAAGAGAGAAATGTTGATCTAAAAGCAACAAAAGAAATAATAAGGTATGTCTAGAATGGGTATACACACTGCTTATAACATTCTTCTCTATGCCCACCATTGCTATACCCAAATATGATTTCTAAATTCCAGGGAAAATCTACTGAAGTCGTCAACACAACAACTATTTAAATTAAGGTTCGACAGTAAGAATACTTTCTCTGGTGCAGTTGATGCAGACATGGTTTCATCCCTGAAACTTATAAATTTCACTTCTGAAATGTAAAGTAACACCCTTAAAGAACCTTCTGGAAAGATGACCAGTTTTATAGCTCAGATTCTTCTGAAGTTCAAAAGGAAGTCTGAAATCAAACTTCAGGCTTCTGTGCTCTACTAAAGCAAAGAATCATAGAATCATAGAATCATTAAGGTTGGAAGAGACCTCCAAGATCATCGAGTCCAACCATCAACCCAACAACACCATGCCCACTAAACCATGTCCCTAAGCGCCTCATCTACCCGTCTTTTAAATACTTCCAGGGATGGTGACTCAACCACTTCCCTGGGCAGCCTGTTCCAATGTTTAACTACTCTTTCAGTAAAGAAATTTTTCCTTACATCCAATCTAAACCTCCCCTGGCGCAACTTGAGGCCATTTCCTCTCGTCCTTTCGCCAGTTACTTGGGAGAAGAGACCGACACCCACCTCGCTACAACCTCCTTTCAGGTAGTTGTAGAGAGCAATGAGGTCTCCCCTCAGCCTCCTTTTCTCCAGGCTAAACAACCCCAGCTCCCTCAGCCGCTCCTCATAAGACTTGTTCTCCAGACCCCTCACCAGCCTCTCACCCCTCACCAGAAGAAAAATACATCATTGATAATTTACAGAAAAGATACATTCCAAAAGATACTATTATGCAACAGATGTGATGAATCTTTTCTAGAAAACCAGATGGCTCCCAAAACACCGCTCAAGAATTTTTCAAACAACTGTCTTAAATAACTCACATAAGTCTAAGGTAGCCTGGACTGGTCTGAATCTGTGTAGGATGGCCTGATGAAAGAGTAAGTTCATGATGTGGACCTATGTTTTCCTTTCCAGATCATAGTATCTTTCTGGATGATCTGGAAGAAAGAAAAAAAAAAAAAAGGAATACCATTTCAGTGAGGTGTAAGATACACTCTATTTCTAAGTTTGAAACACATGATTAAATCAACATTGTTTTTTTCAAGCAGATTAAGAAGCTAATATTTGTGGAAAAGTAACTGAAGTTTTGATGTGTTCAGTAAAAAGAACCCATAGCTGCTGCTCTTACTGAGGGTGTCACTAGTAATACAAAGTAGTTCAGAGGGGTAGTGGAAGCAAGTAGACGATGGTAACTTTGTACAGTCTTATGTCCTCCAGGCAATGCACATTCTTCCCCTTTCCATAACCCTCTGCACATGTTTTGACAGAGCAACGCTGACAGTAGTTCGGAAGAGATTGCATAGACCAGATAATAATATTAAAAAAAAAAAAAAAAAAAAAGATTCTCAAGGCATACTCAGTGCTGTCATGTGGAACATTTTTAAGATGATCTATCGATGCTACTCAAGTAGGTTCACCTTGAGGTAGAGATGCAACCCAGTAGATGTAACCCAAATATAGGACTTCTTGGAAAAAATATTAGAGAGAGAAGTGTAAGACTTGACATTACTTTGTGAGACTATTAATGAAAGGAACTACAGGATATAACTCCTGTTGTGGGTAGCATTATTATAGTCTTCACTACTACTTTATTTTTTGCTGTTAAATTCTTTCCTCTGTTTTCCTAGTCCAGAAGAAGTCCATCTGTTTTTACTTATTGGCAATGGCTTTTCTTGTGTACGCAAAATACCTCTCTCTCCAAAACAGCACGCTGTCATTGTACTTTGTACATTGTACTTAATACAGCCACTGTATTAAAGTACTGTATACAGCCACTATCATACGCAGAAGTGTTAATATTGTGATTCCTAAAATATTTTGTCACTCAAATGTAATGAGATATATTCTAAATCAGACTATTTTGGCACAAAGACAATTCATGTCTAATTAGTAAGGCTGGTCTGTAGGTCACCAAAGATGTGGTTAGGTCATATACAGCTAAGCTGATTAAATGTCTCGGTGTTAGTGAAAGGGATAGTCCTGCTCTTCACTCTACAGTATGCTGAAGCACCAGGAAGGGCTCTAGGGCTTACCTGACCACATGGCAAGCAGCTTTAATTTGTTAATCCAGTCAGTTCATAGAGTTTTACTGCCTAGAGCCTGGAAAAAAAGGCCAGAAACAGAATAGGAAAAAAGATAAACAGCTGATTACCTAGTGGGGATGTGAAACTAAGTCCACCACGGAAGTACAAATTTGGTGAACTAATGCACCAATGTCTTCATTTTAAAAGTCCTGTCAAACTCTAAGAACAGTAGAAATTCATTTGTGTCTAATCATTCGAGATTGTGTATATGGGATCATAAGATATCACAAGCAGATACGCTTAGACTCTCTATAACCAGTTGGCCAGAAACAGCTTTCCTATGTGGCTAGAGTTCAAATTATCATAAAACACAGAAGTAAGTACAAAGAAGTCTCATCTTTTCAGTCAAAGTCTAGGAAACCTCCCCTCAAGTAAAAGGCTAAATACAGCTCATTTCATCAGAGCTCTGAAGAATACAGCTGTCTCTTACAGCGATAATTTTCTTCCTATGGTTGGACTACTATTTCCCAAAGCTTACAGCCTTTAGAGATAAACAAATTTTTTTGATAGATGTGCCCCAAAACACAAACCCTTGATTATTAAGCAATACATTTTTCACACATGGGAAACTGGGGAGCAATGATAGTAAAGGGCGTCTAATGTGTCATTCATATAAACAACCACCATACAAGTCACAGTCTTTTCTCCTTAGCTATATATAGTTTTATTGATGTATGTAATGACAAAACAGAGGCAACAAATGGTAGAAAAACTATGAGGAATTACAGTTGTCATGGCCCGTTGCCTTTGTTTTCTGCATATCCTAACATTCAAAAGTCCTACTTCTCAAGGGTCTGAAAGCAAGCATATAATCAGAAGATCTCGATAAGCAATGATTCCCAGTGACAGACCTTGCTACACATCTAAAACACATCATTTCAAAATCTACGTCCTGTGGTTCACCTGCTGTTTTCACTGACTACATGAGATTCCCCAGAACTTCTGAAGACAAGTATTTCTAGAGCGGTTTTGAAATTACATTTTGGGGGACCATTTCTTATCTGCCCATGCCTCTAAAAAGCATACTACAAATATTTTTTCTCAAAGCAGAAATTAATCCAACATAACTGTTTTTCTATTCAGTAAAACACTGTGTTGTTCACTCTCTAAAACAAGTGTCAAGCCGTGCCAGAAAAAGTTAACTCATTCAGCAGAGGATTATTTGGTGCAGTGTGCAGAAAATGTATTTGATTATTATGTAGATGGGTGACAGCACTTGCAATAAAACAGATTTAGGGAAATGATGTGCTACAGGAGTAAGGAAGACATTTTCTATCTTAACAAGATTCTTGTGCAACCTTCATTTTTGAATAATTTTGATAGGAGGAAGTTAATATTAAAAAAAACCCAACCCTTTAAGCACTTTGTTGGGAGAAGTGTACTATACCAACTGACTTTAATATGAGAGATGTAATACCTGAATTCAGAAGCTGTTTATAAAGTAGAATATTGGCTTCAGCCAACCATTGAAACAAAAATCAGAAGCATTAAGAATAAATTCATTAAGTGACTTTAAGATAAGGATATTGTCACATAGAAACTGTAGTTATGTTATGTTAATAATTTATCCACTGCCTTGTATAATACACATTAAATCCTCTAAGTGGCATACTATTTTGTTATAAGTAACTGTGCGCACACACGCAAAAAAAAAATGTCTGAGACGACTGGATACTGATGGTTCTCCTACAGTGATATTTGCCTTTAGGGAATAATAAATATATGGCTTATTTACCAGTGAAGTTACATTTTAGCTTTTTATCAGTTATGGGATTTACAGGGCTTGCATTGGCTTTCCACATAGAGTTACATGTTGATACTAATAAATGCTTTCTCCTTGTCACTTGATTTTGCTCCAAAAGGATGACAGAAATCAGTAGAGTTGTACAAAGTAAAGGATTTATCAAATATAATAATTGGTAATTTAACTGTAAATCCACAGTGTGTTGCCAGGGAGATATTTCTGCAGTTACATTACTGTAACTTAAGTTCAAAAACTCCACAAGATATCCTGTAAGAATAATATAATTCAGACAAGTTAAGCTGGACTGCTGGAGTTGACATCATTACGGAGAGTAATGGGAAATAAATTTAAGAAAAGTGTCAACTGCAGAAACAACAGAAAAAAGAAAAGGAAAACCAATTCTCAGGTTTGCTTCTAAAATGTTTCAGTCTGACTCAAGAGTGACACCCAGGGACAATTTATAAAGACCAGTATGAAATATACTTCTTTGCTCTCCTAATGTGATTATCGACCACTGACAACTCCTCTCCGAACTTCAAATCTACATCTGGAAGCAGTAAAACATCTATTTGTTGTTCAGAAGAAAAATTTTAGCATACCGTCAATTCTACTAGGATATCAAACTACTGAACAGGATTTCAAGAAATCAAGTAATTTTTACTGATGAAGGGAGTACAGGTAGGTAACAGCACAGCACAGAACAGGAGGTAGTTATTTTGGAGCTGTACACACACTCTAGATTTACAATCTTCTATCATGTGAGCAGAAGACCTAGAGTTACACGCCGCTTTGGCAGAATACGGGCATACCAAGCACTGAGCATCCAGCCAGAGCATTTCCTGCCATGAACCCAAATTTGACTGTTGATTTCCTTAAACAGCTGGAGAAGCCTAAGACTTGCAGAAATCCTTGTCAGTACCCATTTTTAACATGTGTTAAATTGGTATTACTTATATGACAGAATTTAGTCACCTGAAAAAGATAAGGAGAAGTTTATCTTTCACTGTTTAATTTGAAAAAAGCTAGTTTGAGTTTCAACACTGAAATAATAAAATGAAAACTCTGAATGGAAAACCGAAGAAAGTAATACTATTATGTCAATAATTAAACATAAAGATTGAAATTCATCTCTCACAGAACAGTAGCTTAAAGTCTATTTACCACACATAACTTCAACAACAAAACTTTGTTCTGACACTGCTTTGGGGTTTCTCTGTTCATGCTTGTGCCAGCTTTTTTGCCTGACTGTACTTCAGAAATTCTGCTGGCATAATTACATAGCACTTATAAAAAGAAAGAGGGTTTTCTGCTAGGACTATTACATTCCCTTCACAAACAACATTAGCTAGGCTGACAAAGGAATTCTTCTGGCTGTATAGTTGCTTCTACATTGGTCGTTTTGTGCTGGCACAGCTCTTCCGGGTAGCACATGTAATTTTTTTTTCCACTCACTAAGGTAACTGACCTACCCTGTCAAGTCTTATAGTACAGGCTTGGTCTGAGTCCTCTCCAATTCTCTAAAGCTATTTACAGAAAAAATCCAAAGAAAAAAGTCCCTTATAAATCACCTCATCAGAACAATCCTAAAAATCAGAGATATCAGTGTACATACAAAAAACCACCACTTTTTCTTGCCAAAAGTTACTGCACTTCAAGGAGTAGCAGTCTTACAATCAGTTACCTCCTAAAAAAAGCGTTAAAACTTTCTGAAATGGTTATTTTCAGAAATCCATATTTTGTTAAGTGTATGCTTTAACTGTATGGCTGGGAGGAGATAAGCTGTCCTAGGAATGGGGTACACACTGCTAATAAACAAAAGGAAGGGGTTATTAAAGGATTCATTGTGTTCATTAATTTTTACAAGCTGCACAGAACAATGTTCTTTTTAGACACAATATTGTTTAATGTTATTTGGGCACAGTGCAAAATCAAGAACAATGGAGATCTTGCCTATTTGGTTCAGCACATTTTAATTAGACCACTGCTTTGAAAAGAGTGATGTTAGCGTTGCTACATCTCATATGTCCAAAAAAGATTAAAGAACAAAATAACTGAAGAGAAAAAAGTTCCTTAAAAATAGTAATTAAAATAACAATAGTATAAACATTGTCAACTAAATCTCGGACAACTTCTGTATCCCTCACTACGTTCAAAGTTCACTTAGCTAGGAACCAAGTTATGGAAAAGATTAAGTGCATAACTCAGAAAAGCAGTGTTAATAGACTATAAACCCTCTGGGGGAAGAAGATACCTTTTCATTTGTCTGACGTTCCAGATGTGCCAACATAGTTATGTAACTGCTAAGGACAATGCAGAAAACAATAATTGCACAAGCAAGTTTGGATTAAGCTAATACTTGTTAACATGCCAGTGACATTTTTATGTTGGTGCAATAGCCCTTACAGAATGTAAACTTAACTTTTTTCTTCATTTCTTAATGTAAACACTTATAGTTTGTGTTGGAAAAATAATCTTCCACATACTATTATTTTAGTGACTTTGCAGATGGACAAAACAAACTAAAACTAATCAGTGGTATAATGCCAACAGAAGTAATGGAGTTACAACAAAAATAAATGTTCATGAACACCTATGAATGATGTGAAGTCCTCGGCATACACAAAAGTCTAACAAGAATTTTTCTTTTGATAATTTTAACCAAATTCTCTAGCCATTCAGTGTTTGTGGACAAGTTTAGGTAACACACAATTACTTTATTTGAAATTCCCATGTACAGCATCACAGTGCCAATATGTGTTCTCTCTCAAGACAGGAGGGAAATTGTAATTGATTTAGCCATCCCTATTCCAGAATAATTCCCCATGCAAATTGCTTTCTCTGGAATAAAAATACTGGCACAGAATAATTCTGGAGTAATTAGTCCTATTTAGAAACAAGCTCACTATTTCATTCTCACCATTTCATAATGAAGTAATTATTTTCTGCAACAATGTTAACTAGCTATAGAAGAACAGCTTTAAAAATCCATTGATACTGTTATACTTTTGTCATAACAATAATGCCATTTTGCTTTAGACATTACCAAAACTAAAATCTTAAGGGATCTCTAACGGATAAAATGCTCCCTCAACTGGAATTCTGGAGAAATAAGAAGGGGAAAAGAAAGCACATGAAAATCCCTCATGGAACTAGTTTTCTAGTGGGAGCTGTCTGCTCCCTGGAGACAGACAGACAGCATGTAAAACTTTCCATATGAAACCTAAGTGTTGTAAAACTCTTACCACATGTATAAGGCAGGAGATCTGACCTAGCGATGCTATGGAACCCAACAGTGGATATGGCAACTCTGAGCTTCTCCATGTCAGGGAGTCACTGCAGTAAGAAAGGGTGTGAATAAACAGCATGTTACATACCCTGCATTAACACCCTGTATTGATATTCTCAGTGCTAAGTTCAACATTTTCATTATCTCACAAAAACATTCTTTATTAACACAGTCTAGAAAAATTACATGAGGTATAGCTAAATTCTGTTTGATAGTGGGGACTCGCCTTCTGCATCTGCGTTAGACTGTAAGCCCCACTTTAAATGCTAGCCACTCTTTCTGCATTTTTTTACTTCTATATCAAGCTACAAGACTAACAATTTGATGGTATCCGGGATTGCAAATTCTCTCTGTTACTTGTCTCCTGCTAGAACAATACTAGCTTACAGCCAGTGGAAGAACATCTCCTGAGGATCCGGCACTTAAAAGTTACCATTGTTGCTCAGCTCAGCATCCCAGCCCTGAGATTCTCAAATTTGTCTCGGGTCACAGGGAGCAAAAATACCCTCTGTTTCCATTTATCTCTTCCAGAGAATCTATGTATCTTAGGCTTGTAATATTTACTTTCCACATCCAACAGATTTATAGGTGGCAACAAATTTACTCTAATGAAGCAGAAGGTTAATTTTCTAATCAAAATGTTGCCAATCAAGATGAAAGCATAAGAACAGTTGAACAGAGGTCTGGATTGTATTTAACAGGATTTATTTTCAGCTGCTTCAGTATCTTAACTGACACGATGCCTCCTCCCACCTATCCTACACCTGGCTTTCAGATCTCTAAAACCACACAGTCTCTGCCTTTCTTCAAAACAGATTCCCTCCTGCCTCTAACCTTCCCAATCCTAACTCAGTCACTGTATACATCGTTAAAATGATCTCATTCTTCCCTTCCTTGGATGCGCGTTCTTTGCTCAGCACATTCCTTCCACATTAAGCAATCCTTCTGCTATTTACAAGATTTCCAGCTGTCATAAGGTTTATAAACTACGTAGGGATTCTTCACCATGTGCATACCTAAACCCCCATCTTTGTTTACTTTGAGCTTTGACAGCAAAAAACCCCCACACATAACAAACAGTTTTGATAGCAAAACTACTTACCTAAACCACCCTCCCCCTACTATTTTTCAGTCTGGAGGCTCATGGTTATCAAAACCACAGAAGAAATTCTGTCTAAGGAGTAAACTGCAACAACTGCTCATTCAAAGAGAAGCACCTTGAACAAAGAACTAGCTAGCACCCAACTTACAGATTTTTTAAATCTGAACAACAGGCTAACCAAGCAATAGATCACACAGCTGAGAACTCTGAGCCTCCAATTAAAGTCACCTGAAAAAAAGGGATGGCACTTGTAAAAAAGAAGACCTTTCAGTCTTTATTTCTAGAGATATACAAGCAAGAGAAAGAAAGGTTGTGTATATGTACAGAAATAAGAGATCCATAACTACCTTAGAAAATAATGAGCTGAGCCTATGAAGTATTTGAGAGGTAAGGAGATGGACACAGAGAATTATAAACTGGTATTTTGGTGTATGGATCTATGCATTTCTTTTGCTAGCTAAAGTAAAAACAATTAATTTTATGCCCTTTTTGAAGTCTGCAGTATGTGCTTTAACTGCTCCAAAAGAAAGGCTTTAACTCTAGATTAGAGACCTCAAAAAGAAGAATCCAGCTCAGAAGTACTCATCACCAATCCACAATGAAATGTGTAAGAGTTAAGTTGCTAAATTCCTTTAGGATGCCCCTCTGCAAGCTTAGAGTAATTCTATAACTGGACTGTGGAAGAGAGCTTATGCTATAGTGCTACATTTGGAAAACCAAAGACTTTTATTTGAATCTCTCCCAATCGAATAGCTTAAAATACATTAATGTAAGAAAACACAAATACAGTAATTATGTGAGTGTCCAGCAAAGGGAGAGTAATAGGTCAGAAACAGCATTTGTTAAATAGCAGAGTTACAACAAACAAATCAGTGAAAAGATGTTTCCAGGTCAAGATATCTTAGTTTGGATTATACATGGTCTTGCGCAAATATAAAAGCCTCTTTATAATTCACTTATGCTTCCAGGAACAACAGCAAAGCTTAGAATAGACTTGGCTCTTGAAAAAGTCATCAAGCTGAAATACAGTGTGTTTTTTGTTCTCTAGTTCTCAGCTACATCTCCACAGACTACCTGGAAAGAGAATTTGCCAGAGTTTAAGAATATTAGTTTATAATCTTCTGGCACCTAATCAAACTTAAACTAGTTCAGTAGTTTCAGTTCTGTGTCAGGCCTCATTAATATTATGAAAGGTATGTAGAAAAACTCTTACACAGCCTTCCTTCAAGAAAGGTATATCACCTGTACTTAGGTACAGCCTTAACTCATATTTTCCACAAAAACTTTCTGGACTCATTTAACCCCACCTGCTGCTTCTAAGTAATGCTAGAGTTAATTTCTAGAACGTCTTTTGAGATTGTTCCTTCACATAAGCCTTAGATAAACAGCTATGCTTCTAGAATGGCACTTTCATAGCTGAGCAGTTTCCTATATTTTTCTTTTAATAATTTACCTTGTAGCTCTTGTCTTTTCTTCCTCCTAGGTAAATAACTTGTTCTTTTGGCTTTGTTTTTAAAGGCTTGTTCTGACTTCAAAGCAATTCTAAATATCAGGCTACTCATTTAAGCGCATAACTAATGTACACATTTGAATACCTTTAAATTTCAGGGCATGGCTCACAGTTGAATTTCAGCTTGCTACCACACTAGAAAGGGAAGTCTTATTCCTTTCCTGCTCCTCCCAATATCAGCCAAATGCTTTCTTTCCCATTTTGCAGCAGCTCAGGAACTTATCTGATCTCAAGGTAAACTGAGTCAATTCACTCATAACCCAGCACCCTAAAACCACTCTCCTTCCCCCTTAGACTGCTGCTATTTTATGGAGTTGGTGGTGAGCCTTAACTGCTTGAAGCTGTTAACCTGTTTGAAGCCTTCTAGTGAAATATATCTTTCTTTTCTGCTTCAGTTCACATAACTAAAACATTGGTATCTCACAGGTATATCTGCTAGGGTGTAAAGTGCTTGTGAGAACCTTGGATGAAAGTTACTACTAAAGCACAGAATACTATTCCTAATATCATATGAATGAGGACCTCCATTTCACTGCTATAGGGTTGACTTATCACAGGCTGCAAACTAGTGGTGAAGCTACCTTGAGATAGTTTAATATGTGAATAGCTTAGTCTCACTAAAAAAGAAGTCCTGTTCCCCATTCTTACTTTATACCAGCTCTGGCATTTGTCAAACACCTCTTAAGAGCTGATTCATCTCAGTAACCCAGGAGGAAAAAGAAAGTGGATTGTTCTGTAGCTAAATTTAATGAGATAGACTGACTCAGCAAAGGGTCTAACGAGCTAGAAGGCAGTGCAAGGACAGGTAGAACTGTCACTGTGGGGGAGACAGTTTCTCTGCACCCCAGTCCCCACATGTTAATCCTGAGGTGGTCCAGCCTCTTCTTTTCTAAGCAGTGCTTTGACAATTTAAGTCAGTCATGATGTGATGATGGATTTATATGGGTGGTTCTCAATAAGAAAAGCTTTTTAGTATTTATTAAATGAAGAGCTAGTATATTTATTCTAAACATTTTGAGGCAAAAGATTTAAACAAGAAAAGCTTTTATAATGCTTTAAAACCTCAAGAGAATATGACCATTTACATTCCAGTAGATATTTTGCCAGTAAAATTATCATGATTCCACTTGGGTTTTGTTTTGAGTACCAGCTGTTCGTAAGTGGAAAAACAAACTACTAGCCCTGTTAAAAATTTAGTGTTTGAGTTTACACAATTCCTATGTGCGACACAGCCTGCAAAACAGGTCTGTACACTCTGACGGACATCTGGCATCTTCTGAAATTCTGTGGACTAATTGTTTATATGCTAGCAAGTACCTAGGGAATAAGTACCTGTCAAGGAAAGAAGGAATGTTGGATAACACAAGTAATTCTTTTCCTCTGAAATCAGTAGTAATACACACTTCTATACCTCTGATAAAACACATATTTGGCCCCACTCCCTGCACCCCCTCCCCCCCCTGCCAAAAAAAAAAAAATTATCACAACTTAGTACTTTAGGAGCTGGCAGAATGAAGTTCCATTTCAAAAACCTTCAAGAAGCCTTTTTAAGGAATGCCAAAGTGTATTTAAGAATTGCTGCCTACATGTTCTGTGTGCTGGTAATCTTAATTGCTCTGAAAATATAGCACCTGCCTCCAGTTAAGTCTTTCCTGACTTTTAGGCTGTGTTAAGGCTCAAACAAAAAACAAGCTTGCAATACAGCATTGCACTCATTATAAACCTGAGCTATTAAATGCTCATAATGACAGTAAAAAGTGTACAATAACAAGCCACTCTGTCAGCAGAATTCATGAAGCTTGGTTTCCACTGGATTTTTATCTATTATTCAACAGTAGTAACCCATGAGCTCCTTTGTTCCAAAAGGTGTTACCTTGTTTCCATACTAAATGAAACATATCAGATACCTACTGGTTAATAAATGTCACCTAACAAGCAAAGGTTAGTATTTAAAGCAAAACAAAACAAAAAAAACTTTAGTAAGTGGAGAGGGCTATACTGAGGTGTTCTATGATACTAGTTGCTTAGGAAACTTATTTCTTACTCCTGTAGCTTTACTTCTAACTGTTTCCTCCATTCCCCTGACAAAAAAGGATCATATCTTATTCCTGCTTCTATCCCAGCCCTCAGTGGGACTGCATATACATTTTTTTAACAGAAAAATGATTGCCACACACAGCTGAGAAACTTACTTAAGTTTAACAAAATTCTAAATATTACAACAGTAACACAGGTGAGAATCTTCCTTAATTATACTCAGCTTTGAACAATAGAGGCCCTGGCAATGTGTGTCTGAAAACTGGAAAGGAACTCTGCACCAGAGAATAACCAGAGAGTGGCTTTCACAAGGTCTTTAAAACTCATTCTGTAGGCTCTGGTGAGGGTAAGCTCTTGGTGCTTGAAAGAAGGACTTCCAATTAGCAGAGGTGTATAGTCTTTCACTTTGAATTACACTTTTTTTTTTTCTTTCAAAATGAATTATCTGTGGTGTTGGTGGGGATTTTTTTTTTCTTACTTTTATAAGTGCTGCCCCCGTACACTAGTGTTTTCCCTGAATATAATCAGTTGGAAGCATATTTGTTCATTAACACATATGCATTACCTGCCACGTAGAATTTTTTGCTTGTGAAGGGTGTACATGTTGCTGCTGGTGTGCAGCCAGAAACCACCTGGTTCTTGTGTCAGGATTATGTTACATAAATGCCACTTCAGGAGAGTTTGCGTAGTTCTCCAACCAAAACTGCATCGTATTTTGTACTGAATGGAGATCTTTACATTCTAGTTCTAAGCCTGTCTGCTTTCAGAACAACTCCGTAACCTGCCCTACAGTGTTCTAATATAAATAATGCTGCAGATGACTCAGTAAAGCAGTCACTTCATCTAGTTATAAACACTTACGCTGAACCTCCCAAGATGAAATGCTGCCACAGCCATGTGCAGCCTACTAACCAAAATCTACTCGTTTCCCCTCTGTTCCTCCCTGTCTCTTACAAATATACTGAACTTCAAGTAATGTTTTTTGGGCTTGTTTGTTTTGGGGTTTTTTTTAATAGGTTCTAATAGTCTTACCAGTCAAGGGCCTCAGTACTTGACAAGTCCTACTGAATCTGGCTTAGCTGGATTTTTTTTTTTAATTATAATCACTAAGTCAAAGCGTACTGTAGAATTGCCAAAATTGGAACTTCTAAGACATCCTGTCAATTTACAGCTGAACACGTACAGAACATTCGCTCTCACCTCACGTGAGAGCACGTGCGCTCACAAATGTTCATTTGGGAGGTTTACTGACCAAACACACATCCCTGTATTGCCACTCTGCGCCTACGCTTTCTAGGACTAGGTAGGTGCAATTTTGCATAGATAAAAGCTAAAACGAGTACGTCTTCACCTGACTCCAGACGGGACGCGGGAAATCCAGTGAGGTGACACCCCGCGCCGGGCCCGCTCTCCTCAGCGCCGCCGCGCACCCCCGCGGGACGG